AGGACAAAATTGCCTGGAAAAGACCAAGATGTATTTCTCTAGCCTTTCACTGTATCCAGAAGTTTTGTTTGTTATTAATACACAATTGGTTAAACATATTGCATATCGTCAGACTTAATTATGTACATTCAGAAGAATAAGTAAAAAATAAATAAATAAAAAAGGGGTTTAGGGTAAATGAAAAATAGCACTACATTAGTTGAGTACAAGTGTAATAAGTCAGTTTGAAACAGTATTTGTGTTCTTGTTTGGGAGTTATTTTTGGAATTTATTGTATGTAGGTTTACAGGGACAATAAATAACAAATTTTACGTATTTTTAGTAGAATGGAATGTTACATACTTGTAGCTGTAAAAGATTTTGTTATATTGGCCAACTGTATTGCTAATTATGAGATTTCTGTATTGTTGTTGAGGAATAGCTACATTGAAAATGAACCATACTTCATAAGACATAGATTGTTTTCACTTACTTAGTCTATTGTGTAAAGTTTATTGTTTTTCTAATATGGAAGTGTAAACATTGAAATGATACACAGACTTGTATAATTAAAATTACCGCATACCTATAAAGTGTTAATATTATGGCACACTAATTACTGTTGCTCACATTTTATGGTTTTCTTTTCACTAAATTATGTTTGTTGTTAACTACAGTTACATGTAATAATTAACTAGTTCTTTTTTTAGTGTAATGTTTTGTAGAGTATTATAGACAAAAGCAGTAAGGGTGACTAATGTAACTTATTTTGGAAAAATTGAAAAATTAATTTTGGTCTCATCTCTATTCTTATGAAGTGATAATTCAGACACCAGAACCATTCTGTAGGAAAGTGGAGATGGATAAGTGAAAATAAATTTTTCTTGCATGACCTGTAATGAGATGAACAAAACTAATGTAACCAAAATGTTTCGATGCCATACCCCATATTTTCAATTTGGCTGTTCTTGGAAATCGAAAGTAAACATTTGTGTTAACAGGGTTTCATTACCAAAGTGTATATTATCAGTAATAAAAATAATAGTAATTAAAGCTCATGTGGTTAAATTATTGTAATTATTTATTGCATAAAGGAATAATAAATGAAAAAGCTTTTAACAATACAAAGCAGAGAAAAAAATTTCAATATTTATGTAAAATGTAGTGTTGCAATGATATGCATTTATTTTGTATACAGAACAGTGATTACATCAGATTTGAAAGGCACTGTTAACATATACTTTAATGTATGGCATTCCAACACATACTGTTACCTCACAGTACTAGAATTTGGAAATTATAGTTTATACATAATGGAACTGTGTATCATACTTTAATTATTCATCTTTCCGGTCAGGTAACATAACATGTAATTCTGGGTCTGTTTCAGGGCAGACGACCCTTTTCAGTTTCTGGGTCAATGGATTTCCCCTACAAGATCAGAACATTATATATCATAAACAGAAACCTACTTTCATCCCTTCAGACACCAATTAAAGCGAATTGCGTAGAAATTCTATTTCCAAAATGTTTCATATTTTATCTCGACATATAATGTTTATCAGTTACTAATTTTATAACCATAATAATGAAAGATCATGTATAAATTAAACTGTTGCGGCTTAACGACAGGAAGAATCATCAGGGTGACCTGCAGCGCTGCTCTCTACCGTATTTCGAGTAAACCATAGTTATCACAATGGCTTCCGTAAAAGATCCAGCAACTTTCTTTGCTAAAGGAACATCAAATCAATTCGAACATGTTTTGAAGTTATATTCAGAAGCTCTTAAGTTGAAAGCAGACCAAAAAAATAAAAAGGAAGAAGAACTTATGAGATTGGACAACTGGTGAGTAGAAACACGACAAGATATTTATTAAGATTTGGGAAACAATGTCATTGAACCTTGCTTTGTATTACGCTGCACGTAGCAGACTACTCTCGATGAAGGAATGCTCCCTGGGACGGCTCGATCTTTAGCGCGGTCATTAAATGCCAACCGTGTCACGTGGGAATCAATGTCAACTAACGTGCTTCACTAATTTTTAAGAATAGCCTATAATTCCTTCCAATCTGCAGGGGTCTGCGGTCGGGGTTGGGGTGTTGGTAGCGTCATGTCGACTATAGAGCTGACGTTTGCCTTGAAATTGATGATCGGATTTGTAACGAATTTGTTAAAATTTCCTCACCAACGCGAAAGTTTTATTGACTTAGAACACAATTTTATGATATTCCGAATATATTTAAAGGCATAACAGTTAGTATCCTGTACTAAATACTCCTCTGAAAGCATAAACCACTTGATGCAACAGCATGAGATAAACCAAAATGGAGACTAGACAAAGCATTTATGTTACAGTAACTTGTACTGAATTCTAAACTTCAGGAGGGCATTCTTATTTCAAAAGCTTTTAAATTGTTTTCTTTGTTTTCATGAAAATATTATCCGGTATATTCCATGCCTAAAAGCGTGTTATATATGATCTTATAGCCAGAAGAATTAATCAAAAACACCAAGTTGTTCAACCATGACTGGTATACTTGAGAATTCAGTTATTCGACTCACTGTTAAAATATATCTAACATTATGTGCCATACCTAATTTTAGTGATACTGTGTTCCAGGTTGTAAGACGAAAATGAGTTTTCAAATAAATTTTAACTGAAGGAATGTTCTCCAGTTTGAATGTTTTGGTTTGCATTGAGGCAATATTCATTGCTGTTTGTGAACATCAGTATGAATTACACCACAATATTATTTTAATTGTCTTTATGCGTCTTTTAAAATGGTTGCTAACATGCTTCAACAGAATGATAATTTCTTAGGGATTTTCATTAAAAAAAAACATGCTGTGGCATTTCACCCATTTGATTAGAGTGTGTTAAAATTTACATATTTACAAAGGATAATTAATTGGTGCTATTTAGTTGGATGTGTGGATGTCATTCAAGCATTATTTTAACTTTAATTTATTTTTAAAATATATATAGTTTTCTGCAGCTGAAAGAAGGTAAGTTCATAATCCATGTGTGCAATGTGTTTTTATCAACCAAGAAATTTTGCTTTCAGGATAAGGAATCATTCAGATATTGCAGGGTGAAATAATAATAATAAGAAATTAATAGTTGTTTTTTTTATTATTATGCTGTATATTGGCACTGTTTTTGTTTGTGTGTTTTATTAAAATTGATTATTTATGTATTTACTTCCATATTTCTAAGTGGAATGCCAGGTTCTTACATTATTAATTTATTCAGTGTATGAGACTGACAATGGTTGAACTGGTGTGATAATTTGAAAGAAGTGACAAAAATAAATGAATAAAGGAAGAAGAAAATGATATAAAATTTAAATTGATCTGTATTTTGATTTTATATAACTTTCTCTTTTATGTTTGAAAAGGTGATTACATTAAAATGGACATTGTACAGATTTATGAATAACCTTTTTATGATTTTGTCTACTGGCAATAAATTTCAATAATGAAATGATCTGTAGTTGATTTGGTGACAACTACTTGTTTTTGTATTATGCGATTATAATGATATGGTAGAGAAAATTGCAGGTAACAGCAAATTAATTAATGTATGTGTTTTCACGTATAATGTTATTGTCTGTTCCAGGTATCAGAATGAACTTCCGAAGAAAATAAAGTCTCGAGGGAAAGATGCCCATCTCATTCATGAAGAACTAGTACAGACTATGAAATGGAAACAAGCTGTAAGTGATACAACACAGTTGTGCAGCAGTTCTATGTCTAAGTGGAGTGAAATCATCTAATTGTGCAACATATTTTTATGGTTTTAAATCCTTTGTTTTTATTTTTAATTTTATGAGAATAAAAATTGTTATTAAGATGCTGCAACTTGTAACCATTTGTTTCCGACATCACAAATTGTTGGTTTCTTACATTTTGCACTGATCTGTGAATCAGAAAGAGTCCATACACACAAAAGGAAAGTATGGAAAGTCCTTTGGCCAGTCTTGTTATTTTATCGATGAGTGTGAGACGAGTATTTTCTGACTAGGGTATTTCGGTACCTATCTAATATGGTTTTCATTTTTATACTGCAATTTTCTTGTGTTTCAGATGACTGCATTCTTATATAAAATAAGATACCACAAACTTTAAATATGATGTGTAATATTAAATTTTTTTCCATATGCTAAGAAAGTGGTATGTGGGGATATTATAAAGTGCCATTATCTGTAGTTTAATCTCTTTAGATTCAAGTTTTTTGGTTCAGCTTCTTGGTCTTTAAAGTTAAGTATGTTGAATAAGTTCTGCTTGGAAAGCAGTGGTCTTTAATTTGTCAATATGGCCCAAAATTTTGTACATGCAAGAAAGTTTTAATTCCTTGATGCAGTAATTATTTCTGAGCATTTTGTACTGTGCAATAATTACTGTCAGTATGTTCTAAAAATGTATCACCCACATCTTGAAAGAAGTACAACTGAAATTTACTACTATTTCTAACATTTTGCCATATGTCTCAGGTAAAGTGGCTAATGACTGATGAACTAAAGAACTGATAGTAATTAACTCTAGCACTGTTGACATTTTCAGCGGGGAAAATTCTTTCCGCAACTGTCATACCTGGTGAAGGTAAACACACCTCGTGCTGTGATGATGGAAACCAAGAAAGCATTTCGTAAATTGCCAAACCTTGAGCAAGCCATCACTGCCCTCAGTAACCTGAAGGGGGTTGGAACAACAATGGCATCGGGTAAGAAGTTGAAGACGGATAATAAAAATTTCAGGCTTCACTTCAGTTGTTCCCTCAATCTAATTTATTTGTTCTTGAGACTAACTACAGGAAGATTTACAGATAGTGCAGTTGTGAAGTGATCACTCACATCTTCTAAGAAGAAGCCATATTTATGAGCTGCCTGTGTCCGTCCATCCGATAATCTTCTGATGTAGTTACTTTTATGATAACAAAATTAAGTCTGGTGCCTGTAGGTTCATCGGAACTTGGCATCACATCAAAATGAGTTTACTTGTTCTTAGAGGATTCTGCACACAAACTATTTATTTGATTAATGTGAGGACCAGGTATGCACTATGCTGCATATTTAATATTTTGTAACTTTCTGTACCTTGCAGCTCTGCTTGCAGCTGCAGCTCCAGATCAGGCCCCATTCATGGCAGATGAGTGCCTTATGGCTATTCCTGATATTGAAGGCATCGATTACACCACAAAGGAATACCTCAAATTTGTTCACCATATTCAAGCCACAGTAGAAAGGCTCAACAAAGAGAGTGAGTATTAAATCATGTCCTTATTTGCCATTCACATGTATGTCACATTTTTTTATAGTAACTAACTACATGGGGCAGTCCTTGAGAACATGAAAGTTCACGACCTGTCACTAGTCACTGTCCTGAACAAATTGAATCCAGTTCACATGTTGTCACCTTGCTTCTGAAAGATCCATTTTAAGGTCAGCTTACTCCCATCTGTGCCTACGTCTTCAATACCTGATATTCGGACAAGCTGTGCGAAAGGAAGGCTCGAAGTAGGTTGTCTATTAAAAGTGGAAACCACTGTTAATGAAAACACAGTGTAGTCAGTTTTAAATCACGTGATTGGGATATCCGTTTTGCTATGTTTCGGAACATCCTGGTTTGTAACTCAGTTTCTGTTTTTGTTGTATAATACCTGTACAGTCAATGACAGATTACATGAAGTCTACCATCTTTCGGCAGACAATAAAATTATTTGGTTTTTTTTTAAATTTAATTAATGACATTCTTTAAGGTATGTAAGTTATGTATCTTCTGGTGGTTTGGTAATTGATAATACCCATTTTGGTATTGTCCTTCCATTTGTGTCTAGGTCTTCCTTCAGGTTTCCCAGTCAAAATTTTGTATGCATATATCATCTCCCCAATGCATGCTGCATGCTGTGCCCATCTCATTGTTCATGATTTGATCATTCTAATAATATTTGGTGAAGAATACAAATTATGAAGTCCTTATTGTGCACTTTTTTTCCAGTCTCCTGTCACTTCTCACTTATGTCCATTTATTCTCCTAAGCACCCTGTCATAAAATATTCTTGGTCTCTGTTTTCTCTTAGACTTGAGAGACCAGTTTAACAGTGATACAAAATGACAGGTATGCATTAGAAAGACCCGTGTGAATTTATCTGAATTATCGTACTGCGCCAGGTTTAATAATTTAACCATAGTTTTAATTTTTGTTGTTATCTGTATATGAAGTAATCTGTTGAAATATCAGTGTTCACTAGTCCTTGCCTTTTGCACATCACACTATGTGTGTATCAATTATTTATTCCTTTTATTCCAGCTAACAATGGGACTTGGAATCCACATCAGGTCGAACTGGCATTATGGACCCATTACGTTGTCTCAGAGATGAAGCCAGAGTTATTGGATAGTATCCCTAACCCAACAGAAAATGGAACATCTCACCACGATCAAAAGAATGGAGATTCCACCCCAAAACCACAAGTACTGGATCATTCCTAATTTAAAAAAGTTAATTTGTTTCATTCATACTAATTGAGGTCAGCTGAGTATGTAGTAAACTGTTGTATGTAAGCATTTCACTTCATTATTTTTCTTAGCACTTTTTATAATTGTAGCTGCCTGGAATATGAATGAAATTTCATAAATTATTATTTGTATGTCTTTTAGTTATGATGATTGAGATGGGCAGTAATATATAAGCGTGTTCAGAAAATAGTTGTTTTCTGTTATGTTATGGTTTGTGATACATTACTTTTTTTATAGACAGGTCAGGGAAGACAATATTCTGAACTGAATGGTAGCAAACATGTAGCTCTTATGGTAAATATGAAAAATGTGTGCAAAATTGGTGCCAGGAAACTTGAAGGGAAAGAACCACTTGCAAGACATAGGAAAAGATGGGGGTATAATATTAAAATGGATCTTAAAGAAGTAGGTTATGAGGATGTGGATTGGAGTCAGCTGACTCAGGTTATGGTTCTTGTCGTGGGCTGTTATAATCTTGAGCCTTCATGTACCATGAAGTGGGAAGTGTAATAATTGTGTTGGTAAGAATTGCTCAAGAACTCTATCCATTGAAGAGTAATTTAGTATTTTGTTCTGTGCAGAGCAGGAACCACACCACAGTTAAGCAAAAGGGTGTCCGAAGCTGGTTTTTCACACATCAGATTTGCTATGTCTCTTTTGCTTCTGAATATTGTTATTATTGTTACAATGATTATAATGTATCATATGAAAATAATATTTGTATTTTAGACGAGATACATTCAATCAGTTTTTGTGATTTTAATTTATTTGTGTGAAATATTGATGCATGGTTTTTATTGCACTCCGTGCTAGGAACCTGACCAGAGCTCAGACGAGAGTACCCAGGGCTCGACCAATGAAAAGGATCCTGCAGTAGGCCCCACAGACGCATTGGATGATTGTACTACGTCTTTCACAGAGGATTCATCGGATAAACCCTCGACACCGATCGTGGTCAGCCCTGGTGATGAGAACACCAATGATTCCATCGCCACTTCTGACTCTGCAACCAATGATTCAGTGGCAATTTCCACTGCAATTGTTGCATGTAACAACAAGAGGGATGAAGCTTCCACTAAGGATGAAACAGAAGAAGAAACAACAAGCAGCCTTGAAGAACCACCAACAAAGAAAACGAAAGTGGATGATGAAAAGTGACCGATACACCATTTTTTTTATTAAAATATTTTTGAAGTCATGAACAAGACAATGCTTTCACCTATGCAAGCAAGTTAGGAACATATTTTTTTTGTTACAAATGCTGTACAGTACAGTACCAGGATAGGTAATTGCCACATACATTTTTGTTTTGTTTTGTACTGCTCACAGAGGGGAGAAATGACAGTCGTATCAATTCAGTGGAATCAGAATTTTTTTTCCTTCATGCGCATAGTAATATGTAATCATCTCCATGATCTGGTGGTGATATCTGAACAAGCCACTTACTGCCTAGTGTACATGATTGTGCCAGTTCTCCTTTCTGTACGCAGCCTCAGTCCGTATTTTTCCCCCCCGAGGTACCATTTCCATTTGTAAGGAAGATGTACTGTACCGAATTGTGAGAATGAGGCATGAAATATCGTACTTCATGTTTTGTGTGTTGGTATTTAACTTGAAAACAATACTTTTTCATCTTTTGCATCATAACATGAATTTACAGTCATCTTAACACAGCCAAAACCTGTTTATAACAGTGGAAAATAGCAGACCGTCATGATAGTGACACTAATGTGCTTAGATCAGTACTTGTTGGAGCAGATTACTGAGTGAGAAGTCTTCTCTCTTCTTAAATTGTGAATGCATGTTCATTCACAAATCAAGACAAGTGTTAATAAAGGCTGAAGTACCGTTCTGTGGGTATGACATGAACAATTGATAACTTAAATCTTCCCCCTCTCACTACCTTTATTCAATGAAAACATGCAAAATGAATTTAAGCAATGTTGAAGAAACACGTTTCTAGTGCGTTATGTTGGAGTGTGCATCTGTACGTGCGGAAAATGTTTTAAGTTTTTTTCCCCCCTTATACTCAACATTCCAAAGTATGTTATGAAGAAAAGATGTTTTTTTGATTTAGGTGTTAGTCATAAAGAAATGAACTGTTGAATGCAAAAACTGGGCTACGTATAAAACTGCTATTATTGCATCTTTTTTTCTTAATCTTTGTTACTGAACTGTGGCTAACATTAGATAATACAGACACATTCCAAAAAAGACTAATTTTCTTGCTTTCATAAGAGAATAAAATGTTAAAATTATATATTTGTTGACCCTATTTGGGCGAATGCATCCAAATTTTGCAAATGCCAACAGTTTTAGCGACTAAGGTAAGGTTAGGTTATATGATGCACTGCTACACCTGTAAGTGTCATTGTACATTTGTAGCAATATCTTTGCTTCATTTAACGTTCATTTTGACATTTCATTAATTGATCAGTTTGATTGTAATGCATTTTTCAGTTTTCTGTGCTGCAAGTTATAATTGACTACATGTGATGAAAGTGGTAGGCTTGCTCCCAGGTTATAAATGTAATCAGTTTTGCACTCAAGAGATCATTACATACATTAAGTAGTCTCGAGGTATTGCAGTAGTTATATCATACCCCTTCCCCATCCATCTACATTTCCATTTATTATCAACAAGTCTTTATTTATGTATTTAATGTGTGTGAATTTTATCTGACCTTAAGTTACAGTGTCCAGGTAATTGTTTCATTGTTAAAAGTAATTGTTTGTAACAGAATTGCTGCACATTTTATTTAAGTCCCTTAAGCACCTTTACCCCTTATTTTTTTTATAGTTCTGTAACTTTTTAGTGAAGTTGGGCTGTTGGATTAAGGTCTGTCTGAAATTGATAATACTTGTGGCTTTGAGGTTTCCAAGACTTGTATAATAGCAGTAACTTTAATGACAAAATTAATGAGAGATGTAACTCTGTACAGCTATTATTTTTCTGTTTGTTTGTTTGTGTGTGTGTGTGTATACAGACATTTCTCAGGAGTTTGTGAAAGAGTCTTACAAGCATTTCCTTATTTTTCACCAGTGTCACATGATTGACAAATCATTAAACCAAACTGATTTTAAAGACAAAATTATCTGAAGTGATTGGTGTCATCAGTGGTTTTACTGGCAATTAAACACCTTATTTATTACATCGTATATCTGGAATTTTCTTCTTCTAACAGATGGAATTGTTAAGGATACAGTGTGCTTGATAAAGAGTACAGTTTACATGTTTTCTGTATATTGGTAAAGCAGATAACACTACGGAGAACAAAATAATGTCACAGGACAAATAATTTCTTCCTCTCTGTTTTCTGATTATGTATTTTCCCCCCTACCCCTCTTTTATGGGGCTTGTTAAGTAATTGTGTCATGCTTGAAGAGGTGGGTCTCTCTGACTCAGATGTAAGTAGGGGCAATTGTTGTGTTGATACGTCAAAATCCTCGAAGAGCATGACATTATTGAGTCATATTCTTATTACCAATAAAAATATCAGTTATGCAATCTTTCCAGAAATGCCATTAAAATACCGATTGATTGCCTTTTTGTAGAAATGTATTACAATACGTGCATACCTCCGAAAAGTGAGAAAGAGAACTAACAAGACAAGTACATATAATTTAAATAAGCTGTAAAAAGTATTTAATTGTCAACACCTGACTTTCATGAAGAAAAACCAAAACAAGCATAAGAACAGTACCATGTGCTATTTTTTATATTTTATGACTTTGTAGGTGCAACATTAAAATATGTTGTTCAATAAATTATAGTAAACATAGTTATTAATTGTAGTTAGTGGAAAGAACAGAATATTATCATGTATTCACTCAATGGCCTTAAGACTCTCATCACAGTTTTTAATGTTTCATCATTGAATTGCTGTTATTTTGCTTAGTACCTTGTCATTTAGAGAAAATCGTTGCATCCAGTGTTGGCAGAGAAAAATTAGAAAGTCCCACTGAAAGTACAAGTGGGTGATGAGAATAGTGATAGAATGTATAATTGTGTATGTTGCAATATCTCCAAATTGAACACGATGATTGCGTGATCCTTGTGTACTATATCCTCTGTTACACTCTTTAAGCAACTTGTTCAAGTATTTTCATTTGTGGAACTGGTAGTTTTCAGAAGCTGTCATGAAGCCACCTGCATTATATACTAACATTGCCCAGTTTCCAGATACTATACAGTTTCTGAATGAAACTTTGGAGCTGATATGTGATGATAATTTGGACAATGTCATGAAAAATTAATTCTCATTATTTCTGTTATGATTACAAAACACAAGTTGTACATTAGTGTGATGATAATTTGGACAATGCCATGAAAAATTAATTCTCACTATTTCTGTCATGATTACAAAACACAAGTTGTACATTACATCACAATCATGTTATGAGATTGAAATTGTAGTGGTCACACTTTTAAGATTCTCAAGAGGATAAAGATGCAAAGGACAGCAAATGAATGTACTTCAGTGCATAACACCTTATTGATATTGGCAACTGTTTGTCATATTTGCAGATAGCAATCTTACTGTGACATTCAAGATGAATTATATAACCCTTTGTGGTCCAACTTAATACAGTAATTTGAACTGGTTATTATGTCTAACACCATTCTGTTGTGGACCACAAAGAGTTGCCATAATGTGCAGGTTTGTATGTGTGTGTTATCGTCATGAAATCATCTCTGGGGTTTTAGGTTATGTTTCCAATGCCGACCAAATTCAAGCTTAATAACTACTCTAGGCTGTAAGATACACATAATTCCTACCCTTGTGGACATTCTATTTTACATTATACATTCATACACCTGCATACAGTTAGGTGCATGTAAATTCTTTAATCTGTAATGAGAATGTACGGTAAGAGCAGTCACAGCAGATTCACTATGATGTTTTGTGTCAGACTGAACTTTGAGAAGCTTGTAATGATGAGATTAATTATTGGAGACTGCATTTTAAGTTTAAAGTAATCTTGTTTGGAACGAATCATTAAGCAGTTTTATAGGTTTCTGAAGTGTAAATTTGCAGCCATGGGAAAGTGTGATCAAAGTTTTTACCTAGATAAGATGTTAACCATTCATACACACAAATATTGATTGAAGAACGTCTAATTGCTGCAGATTAATCCAGTGCCACTGTTGTTTGAAAATTTGTTTCTTCCAGTTGTGGTTGTTTACAAATTTCCAGTTATTTAAAAACCTGAAATCATTTGTAACTTTTTTTCAGTTTGGCACACATTTGCAGGGCTGGAAAAGATATTCAGTATTGATTATATTTATTGAAGAACACGATGATAGAATACAGGATTTGAGGTTTTCATGGCGGTGAGTCTGAAAATGGCTGTCTTCTGGGTTGTAGCGCCGTGTAATCTGGTAAACGTTTACCTTTAAACTTCTACCAGACTATGCACTGTTAATCTGAAAATGTTCTATGGATGACCTCAGTGATGATGCACAGTACACTCCCTCATTCCAAATAATGTTATAGTAATCCTGTTGGCTATTCTTCACTGCCATGGATATTTTTTCATACAATTGTTTAATTTTAAATGCCTTTTCTTTCAGAATTTGGCACCTGTTTATTTATGTCCCACTGCATGTCATTCACATCAGACTTTTCCCGTTCTGTAGTGTAGCTATTAGAGAATGTGTTATGTATAATTAAGAAGTTAGAATGTGAGAATGAAAGACTTTAGTTGCCTTGCCTAAGTGAATTACATTTGATTTGGTTCCCAAGACTACACTCCCTAGTTCTGCAAATAGGCATAGGTGTTCCTTTGAATTTTATTCATGTTTCATTACACAGTCTCCATAAGTGTATCACCAAACTAGATACAGTTAATTGAAGCATAAATTTGCTGCACTTTTCTTATTATACCGCATGATTATATGGTAGTTCCAACTGATATGAAAGACTGTTGCTATTTGCCAGTCATAATGCAGCCATTTAAACATTACAGCTAGGAGTTTGTATGTGGTAACATAACAAATTTTCAGTAGTCAGAAGAGGACAAATTAGGGATAAATTGACCTTGCAATCTTGGCGGCAGAACTTAATAAAAATTGTTAATGGGTCTGTCTCTAGTGTTATTCTATGAAAAAACATTTTGGGGGAGTACAAATGTGATTAATTTTGAACATACAGAATAGGAGGAGGTTTCAGAATCGTAACAGTTAATTTATTTTAATCATGATGGTTTTAATTAATTTCAAACGAGACATTAAAGAGTGCTGTGTTCTCATATGATAAACAGAACTGACCTAGTTCAGCTCTGTAAAACAGCGTCTTAACTAGGTAATAAAGTGACTTGGATCCACTTGATCTCTTTTTCTGCCATGAAACTACCTTATAAAATCTTTTCCTTACATCCACTGTTCCAGAGACTATTACCACAGTAAATTTTGAAGAGGACTCGTAAATGAAACATAGGTATCATTTAAACAGTTTGTTTGAATGCAGCAGTTTTGACAAGGATTATGCAGAAGATGGTTATTAAGGCTGAGAATTATGCATTAGTATAAATGAAAGTTATGACCTTTCTGAAGCTAATATTCCAGGATTTAGACCACAGAAATCTTGGCCAGGTTACACATGCTCAGGATTCAGTCTTTGGTTCTGAATAAAAGAAGACTTGAAAATGTAAATAATCTTAAGTGCTAGAAAGTATACAGATACTGAAGAATGTTTTATCTCAGTGATTCCCTAATTGTGTTCCACATACCTCATGGTTCTGTAAGATGAGTTACAAACACCACTGTAAAATCAACTGTAGGGCAATGACTTATGAAAACTGGTGTGAAAATTTGATCTCATGAACTGTTATGAAAAAGAAGATAATGATACACTTAATACCTATTCAGCAATTTGCTGTAGTGATTTAAAAATTATCTTTCCTCATGTTACAGTTCATCTGACATTTATCATGTCTGAAGACTACAAGAGAGAGACCTAATAAGGGGAAACTAATTTAGTATTTGGTGGAAGAGAAAAAGCACTAAAATTTTGAAAGAACACTTACAAGAATACAATTTTAGTACTTTAAAAGGTCCATATTAATGTTAAATTTGTTAAAAGTACAGTCCATTTTATTTTCCTGGTAGTTTGTGTTTGAAAGATTCAAATGCAGAATGTGGTTTGGTTTAATACAGTATGCCAGAAAACTATGAAAAGAAAGGAATGTAGAGAAGCTGTGTCATTGCATTGTTGGAAGCCAGTTTTACTTCCTGGGTCCCAAAGAATAGTGCACGGACAGAAGTTTTGTTACTTATAATGCTGTTTTATAAAATCTGTAATGTTTAAACAAAACATTAAGTGTCCTTATACTTCCAAACTGTTGTATAAAATGTAATGTTTCTCTGATTTTTAACCTTCCAGTTGCCATCAGTTCATAAGTTAGGCTCGGTATGTAGTGTACTGCAGTGCATCCACTAATGCAACTCTGACTTCTTGGCTGAAAATGCATGACTCACCATGAAGCGCTACGAGCTTTCCCTGATATGATTTAAGTGTTGTTTCATAGAAACAATAAAATCAATGTACCTATGTTGAAAAATGTGCTGAAAAAGTCCCTGTGCAAGCACACCATTCCATTTAAGTAGGTTGAAATTCAACTTCCAGAATTTCTGTTCATATGTTTTCCTTCAATTCTTCTTCATTGCATGAAGTATTCCTAGCTGAGTCATGTGGTTGAAAAGCATGAACTACAGTTGCCTCGTATGGCTAAAGTTGTGGAGCTTTGTTGCTTTGGCAGTTAATAATTTGTGCAAGGCATCTCATTGACTTCAGTGGTGCTGTTTTAACCTAACTCTACTATGTCTAGTTATTCTTCAGTATGCACACAGCAGTTTTAGAGGGTTTCTTGTCCAGAAGTGACCCAATAGACCTGATTTATTAATAAGTTTATGGATGCCTGTTGTGCTTGGAACTGATCTCAGTAAATTTACTATAAAATTTTCTCTAGTGGAACCATATTTCACATGTAGGAAGACATGATGTTAAACACAGTTACTCTTTTGTGTGAATAATTTTAGCAGCAATTGTTAGCACTTGGTGTTGTCATGCAGTTCCTGCCAGGAGCCAGGAAGTGAGAGTTGTATTTTACATTGTCAGTATATGCACTATATTTTGAGTGTATTAAATAGATGTTCATCCCTGGCACACTGTAATCATCTGTGTTGAGTTCAAGGGTGTCAAGGAACAGAAACTGGCTTAAAGCAATACTACTGCTGTGTATACATTTTTCACACACTTGATGGTAAGTGCTTTCAACATTCAATTTTTAAAATACAACTCATATGCTCTGTATTTTATGTTGACCAGGTACTGAACCAGACTAGGTAAGTGTTTTTAATCCCTGCAGATGTGTGTAATAACTACTATTACAAATGTTTCCAGTCTTCAGTTAACCTACAAATATAAAAATAAAATCTACCTAAATATTTTTAAGTCCTCAAACTTACATAAGGCCAAAGAAAAAACTAATTTCAGTGTGGCATAAATGATCCAGACACTTTAGAAAGTAGGTTATTGTTGTGAATTATATTAATGATTGAAATGAACTACTGATAATTAAGCACAGTACATATTTATTTTAAATAACATTATAACACTGATGAGTAGAATTGCTACTTTAGTCTATCATATAGAATGTGTGTATGTTGTATCAGTATGTGTGATTTAGCAAAGAGGAATTGGGTGATTGTGAATTTTTTAAAGTTTTTGAATAATTGTCATTGCAGAAATAATGATTGGTCAAAATATACAATTGTCTGAAAATGCTACTGTAATTTTGAATATTTGGTTTATAATATATGACAAGGATTTGTTCTTATAATGAAATTATTTCATATCTATTATTCTTTTGTAGGTGATTTTATGACATTCATCAAGTGACTGCTGTAAGCATCCATACATCTGCTATAAATTCATAATTGATCTACGTCAGATAGGACACTGTCGATTCCTCATTTACAGTAAGTGTTGACACTGCAGAAGTTAAACAACTTTTGTTATATAAGTTTATTTGCAATGCTAATTTTAATTATTATCCGTTCCATCCATCAGTTGAAACAACTGGCACTGAATTAATTGAAATATAGAAAAATTTCAAAAGGCTGTTTAAAGTGTGCACATTATACACATGATTTTAATCTTATAGTAGGGGCAATATATATGTATATAACATTTGATCTTGAAGCAAGAATTGTATAAACCCTTGTGATATTTTGCACAGACATGACATGTTTGCAAAGCAAGTTTTCATGGCAATGTAGTTGGTGATAGTAATTTATTAAATCCTTTATATTTAATAACATTTAGTCAACTCATAACAAAATAACTCTATTTCTTACAATCCTTAAAACTATTAAAAGAATCATGACTTCTTTGAAAACCAACCCCTAACAAAATAATTGTATCTGATAAAATCCTTCAAACTAAAAACACCACCATGACATGTTAGTATTGTGGTAGTCCAAATAATTCTGGTTGAAATTCTTCCAGTGAATTCAGGACTAATGTTGCCAGTTGTTTGCTTTCTTCAGAAATATGGTTATCTGGTACCATAACAACTTGCATTCCAGCAGCTTTAGCAGCTTTAACACCATTTGGTGCATCCTCAAACACTAGACACTGAAATAAAATGGGAAGAAATAATACCAAACACCAAAGAAAATCAAATGTTAAATATTACTTATAAAGTATTAGTTTAAGCATGCATAAAATTATAAATATTTATCTATGGACCTCTCTTAATAATGATCTTTCTTCCCTATTCTAACTGTAGCAGAAGTGTGGAAGACTGACAGTACGCTGACAGGAGAGAATCATGCTCCAGTGTCACTCCGTCCATCAAAAATTCCACATGGGCGGCTCTGAGATTGAATGGTAGCCTCCAAAGTGAGAAGTCAGGATCTAAAGTCCAGGGATACAGCATGCTGACTTCAGATAATACTGTATATACCTTTTCTGGTTTTGGTTTATCTGGGAATCTTGAAGCACATATCAGAAAGATATCAGGATTTGGTTTCCCTTTCTTCACTTCTGGATCACTACTTGCCGTTACCACATGGTGAAATAAGGAAAAAAGTTCTTTATGATTTGTCAGCTTTAACATAACACTTTCCTCAGAACTGCTAGTAGCTACTGCAATTGGAATACCATGCTTATGCAAATGGCATATTAAGTGTTCTGCTCCTGAAATTAAACAAAAGTTTCAACCAACCATACAGCTGAATATCAAACTCTTCAGGAAGATAAATACCCATTTAACAGCTCCATTTTCATTAGCATTACCTGAATACCTAGTATACATATGTTTACTCAACATTTTGTAGAGGGGGTATCTCAACATCTGACATATTATCAGTTTCCTTTTATTGTAACTGAAATAAGACCAAATCTAGGAAGTGGGGTTTGAGGTTTTCATTGTGGTGAGGCTGTTCTGGGTTGTAGTGTCATGTAGACACATTGGTAGATGCCAATGTTTTGGAGAGAAATACTGTCTCTGTTTTCACGGCTGTGTAGTCTGGTAGAAATGTACCAGGCTGCATGGCACTACAACCCAGAAGATAGCCACTGCGATAACTTCAAATCCTACTTGTTCACAGTTGTATGTGCATATGTACATTGCCTTTTCCCATGCCTACTCAAATTGAAACCAACGTAATAATGTGCTACAACACTAAAAAACTATGTAGCCCAGGGAATGAGAAAAGAATCACCATGCGAGTGTAGGAAAGCACCAGATTGCAGAAAATAGATTTCTACTTACATGCCACTACAGTTTTGTCTTAAAACTTTGGTGTAACACAAATATTTTAATTTCTGGGAAGTATGTGTATGTATGTACCCTTTATGGCAGCGTATTGCTACAACCACTGCCATGGTAATGGTGTTAATGGGATTTTTATCTCCTTCCATCACTTCTCTGTAGCCCTTTAGTATTCATTACAATTCAACAGTAGGCTCTTGATTATCCACTTTTTGAATTAATTATTGCTGTGCTTTTAGAAATGCCAGTAGCCTAACAGCAGTTTGTCTGTATGTTCCTTCCTTTCAATTCACTGGAATTTTTACTTCCATTTTTGATAATTTCTTGTAAAATGTGAGAAATATGATTCTACTTTATAATATTTCTACAAACATGTGAAGTATAATTATCAGTTCATTTACTACTGTATAACAAGACTGATCTTGGTACTAGACTTAGTATTCTTATCTATGCTTCATGAATTTCACACGTCTGTGTAACCTGCATTCAAAGGGCAACAGTTAACCTGAATTCACAATATGAACACATTGAATTTAAGGAATGACCATCAGACAGTGGCAGTTTTCACATGTTAATGAAAGCAGGGAATAATTATATAATGCTAATTGCCATAAAGGGTTGATTCCCATATCCAATATTAATCAAATTTACTGTCTAAAAAAGAAAATAGAAATGTATTTCTGTACAGAAATGATAGAAGCATTTGAGATCCTACAGAATTCAGACTTCAGCAGGGATGACACAGGCATTTTGAAACTACCACTATATGTAAGCAGGTTTTAGTATTAAACGTAACAGTGCAATTGGAGATAGTCATGCTTGCAGTATGTACTCCAGACTTTAGCTCTCTGACTTACAATGGAAGTGAATCTTTATCTTCCCAGTTCCCTTTCATCCCTTTGATTTTGACTGAAATTTTTTAAATATGTAGTTCAAAGATTAGACCTCCCTTGAACTGTCCAGGCGTTCACAGTACATTCTCCGACCATGACTCCATGTGGGTATTAAATTTTGAATGGATGCTGACCTGAAAGATGATTATTGAAGTATTCATAACATTACTTGCAGACAACATACATGCAGCATTTTCCTTTCTTCTGGGGAAAAAATTATACCTGAATATCATGAAATCTTCTTGATCAGTTTGCTCCATTCTGTATCAATGCTGTTAATCACTCAAGAAAACTTTATTGCAATAAGTTACTGTATCAGATTTTGTATGTTCTAGAACACTCATATATTTAACAAAACTCTTTTCCAGTTGGTTCCACTTTTGTGCTTTCATTTGACATCTAAAGGGAAATGCCATTTCAATGTAGATGTTCTCATTAAAAGCACTTTAATTCCAGGAGTAAATCAGGTAAAAACTAAATTCCCATTCCTCATATTAAAAGACTCCAGAGAAAATTTCTGGTGAAGCTCTGTATATATGTCATACACATGCACATACCCTCACATGTACACAAGCAACATCTAAGACCTTGTGTAGTAGTTTCCCCATTGTGCATGGTGTGTGCATATGCAGAAATTGTTTAAAAACATTACAATAATGCAAGATTAACACGAGATTTGCTTATACAGGAAGATTTTTTTTTACCTGGCATTAACTTTGTCTTTGGAAGCATTTCTCTTTGCAGTAGGCGTTGTTGATCCAAAACATCTTGAGGTGTTACTGGAAGGCTGAGTTCCTGAACTAAAATTGCACATGAATCCTTTTCCATTGTACCAAGTACTTTCTCTCTTGCTTCATATGTGTAACTCTTATTATATTTAGCACAAATAATTGAAAATATCTCCACATAAATTTCTTCTGTACCTGTCAGACAAAAATAAAATTTAAAATGTGTAATAAAGCTGGTTGCTCTTAATACCTGGCATCAGCAGCTTTGCAAATGGAAATAGCTTCTTCATCTTGTCTAGAATCAGCAGTCTTCTTCTGGCAACAAAGGTAAATTTAATGTTTCAACTATAGTTCTTGAATATTCAGGTCCAGTAAGTCCCATTAGTTGTTCTATCAATTCCAGTGTGAATGTTCTACCAAAAGATATACACAATTCAGTTGCTATTTGCTAATAGAAACTTTCAGTATCTGGAACATCATATATTACTTCAAATAATAAATTAGTAAGCTTAACTTATAGATGCATATTACAAAAATGAAATGAAGTTTACCCAAGCCTTTCCAAATTAACTGTTGTTCTATCCAAGGATAATGAACTTCATTAATTGAATTTTGAAATGACAAGGTCATATGAAAATAGTGCTTATGGAGATGAAAGCAATAAGCTTTTTAGATCTTAAATGCAAAGGAAGTGAAACTATTATTGGATAAATAAGTTTGTAATCATTTTATAATCTTGCTCAAAATATCAGCTACTGAGTGGCTTTTTAATCATTAACGTATGGTCTGCTGTAATCAGCAGTGTCTAGTTTCATATAAAAGTTCAGCTGTTAACTGCTTGTAAATCATGAATGAATAATTGCACAAATTTATTATTTACCAAGTAAGAGACCATCCAAATCAAATATGACATGGTCAACCTTACTGTAATTTGTCATATTTGATCTGTTTCAGACGAATTCTTCAACCAGGATTGCACAAAGAATAAATACAATCTTGGAGACTGTGGAATATTCCAGCAATGTGCAATGCACATTACAATAAAGAGTCTAGTTTCTTTTGGGCTATTAAGATAAGATATATATTAAGATTGGACAGGCACCGTCTGCAATAACTTGAGGACAAGACAGATAGTCCAATTTTTATTGGTTATGTCTCTTTTCTACTCCTACATATTTATTCACTCATAGGGAACATTATGTTGTCCAGCTTGTATTGATTATCGTTTGTCAACTTTATTAAATCACGTTCTGAAATCTCTTTTCAAATCTCTCACATCGCATCGAAAACCGCTCTGCTACCGCTGCTCTCCGTGCGTAATGGTAGGTGCGCGGTGAATACAAATGCGCGTGCGCAACTGATTCGGGCGTTGAAGCAGACGTCCAAACAGTTGCAGAGAGTGCGGCAGTTGTGTGAATGTGGATTGATTGTATTTTTTTCTTTCACTGATCCGGTATTTAATTACCGGACACTGTGGTACAAATGCACGCAAAAGATAGGTGGATGTACTTTATTTTAAACTGACCTTCATTTGTAAGTGAAACGTAAAGCCTATACTTTTTATACGAGGCTGCTCTGACGAATATTTCCTTGGCAGGCAGCATGGCTGTGAATGGTTACAGATGCAAGACACAGGACCAGTCCTTGCGGTTCAAAAGGCGGCATCATATGGAATATACGTGTGTTTTAGTGTGGACAATAGCTTTATTAGCAATAACGTTATGGATTCAAGATGTATCTGCAGCTGACATAAATTGTGCGAGCGTCCGCTACACGTATGAAGAAAGGGGTTTCAGTGCTGGAGAGGTGCCGAATGATCCATTGTCAGGTATGGTTTTGCATTAATCATTAAATTAGATTCGACCGATTAAGTTTTTTATTTGCCAACCAATATTGTAGCATGTTAACCCTTACTAACTGCTTTGTTTTCGTCAATATTTTAACTTATTTTTTTATACTGAGTTTGAGTGCGTACATGGTGTTACAATCCCTTTATTCGCGTCGTTTTATCAAATAAATAAAGTGATACACATGTTGAAAAAGTCTCTGTCGAATGCTATGATTTTATCATCATCATATAGGCCTATCTTTATAATATGGTGTCCAGTTAGAAAGAGAATCTTGCTTTCAGGATTTGACAGCTCTGTACTATTCACAGACATGTCGGTAGATGGAGTGCTGAAGTCAAATTACATACTCCCGTCTCCTTGTGTTTAAATAAACCTTCATTTCGATCACACACAACTATTGTGCCTCATTCATTTAATACTATATATGCAGTTATTTACATGTTACTTTTGTTCACCCCTGTTTTTAATATAACATATATATTATGTAAAATACTTTTGTCCGTTAAAATATCACTCCATTTACATTTGCCTTTGTCATTTTATTACTCTTGCCTCCCCATATCATATACAGGTGTGTTGGTAGGTTTCTGCCAAACTTGTAAGGAATGTTCCTTGGGTCATTGTAAGTCATAATCTAACATGTCTCAGTCCAAAGTTGGACACTTATGGAGATAAGGACAAGAAAAGTTTTTTAAAAAAATGAGTTTTTATACATTTATTAACAACAACACTATTAAGTACAGAAAACAGTATAAGGTTGAGTGAGTTCTTATTGTTGTTTATGCCTTTACCATTAATTACACAAAACAAAATCAAAGTAATTGTTTAAGATTGACAAAGCAGTGCAGGTCTTGTGCCAACCATTGTTTTGTACACTGAACTCTTTAAGTGGCACCAAAGAAAGTAGATGGGGAGGGTAAGGTCTTGCGACCTTGATGGCCATATCTAGGGTTCACCAGGACCTGTTGAAACAATTTGGAAAGTACTCCTCATATGTAAATTGTAATGCAAAAAGTTAAAATGTTTAAAATTAATTAATATAGTACCATCAATTAATTTTTCATCTGGAAGTATACTCTGTCTCTTGACTTTCGCATGGACACTTGGTGATAATGACAGTGTGGTAAATTAATATAGTAGCATATAAGAACACCACAGTAAGTTGAGAGGCATAGTATAGATAAAGAGCTACGTGATGATACTGTTTAATAACTTTTAAATACTGGTATTTAAAATTTTGTAGGAATGTTAATATGAATGGGTCAGCGATGATTCACTGCATTATAATTGGATGAGATTGATGAAGAAAACAGCTTGTACTGTTGGGTTAAGTTTGGGTAGATTAGGTAAGGTCAGTGATGCGCGAACATTTGCACATATGCAGAAGTTGGTGCACAATGTTCAGTTGCTGAGGGGCAGATCTAGTTGAATTAGATTACTTTTCACATAATATAATATATGGATTTTATATGATTGAGAATCAACCATTTGATAATTTATATATAGTTTAATATACTTTTGATTTGCATAAACCACCCCCAAACTCGTAGCTTTAATTTCCTACAATCAGTGTTAACAACATTTCAAGCTCATGAATATGTAAGGTGGTTGTGACTCCAGCACTAATTCATTAGTCCTGAAATGATGCCTACTAACAGCCTTGAAAAATTATCAACTTTTGTTGAGGTATTTCTTGGTATAATAATAACAACAGGTATCTTCGAGACATTTGTAATTGAAAGCAGTAAGGAAATTCTGACTCTTTTATCAGGATTCGATCATATGACTACCTGCGCCCCCAGCCATTGATCCAGAAACTGAACCCATGAGCTCTTGAGCTAAATTGTGTCTGGTTATTAGTGTTGGTGAAATATTTTTTTAACACGGAATCGGGAATGTTTTAATTGAGAGTTGCTTGTTGAAGATTATAAAAGTCTTGTTTATGAACAGAATAAACATAAAGTCAAGGCCAGCTGTTTTTAAACTTTGCTATTCTCACCAGAGTCAGCCTCTGATAAACAAATGGAACAGTAAAGTGGAAAGAAAGACAAAAATTGATGTGCTCCGTAAATGTTTATTTATTGGAACAAGAAGGAAGCATTTAGGATGTCTAAGGTGCACAGACCACATTTGAAAACAGTGTGTTGGACGGATGGATAATTTGTTACCCCTACTTTATATTATTGAGGTCCAGGGTTCACATATCTCCCTGTAGACCGTATGTCCTGACTTACGGGTTTTTGCGTAAAAATCTCAGCTTCTTTAGCCATATCTCGGGATGGTAGGTTGAATTTTGCCAAACCACGTTCTTTCGTGTCCTTTCCAATTTATTATTCATCAATTGGATATTATTCGACGCTATATATGACTACCGACGTATGAAGCACAGTAAAGTAAATATTAATCACTGTCAAAGACTTCATATATAGTCGGCGTAGAAGTTTTTGGCCAGTGGAGGAGCTGGCGGACGGGCCTACTCTGTGTACCTGAGGTGGCACGGTCAGCGTGTTTCTTTTGTTTGGGCGTTCAGTCCGATAAGCTCCTCGGTGCAGTCAGCATTATACTATCGCACAAGTGACTCGCTCCTAGCCTTACCCTTGAAAATTCCACCGGCCAAAAACTACTGCGCCGACTATACCTACAGGAAATTTCACGTGTCCATTTTGCTTACTGCGGTAAGCGTCACAAAAGCGTCGTTAAACTTGTGTTAGACTACAGGGCGTAACATCCCAGAAAAGAGTTGTCTTCGACAGAAAGTCAAGTTACTATCAGATGTAGGATATTCGTGTGGCTGAATTGTCAAGCTATATAATGGAGATTTATGTAATTCCAGAGGAGTAATGTATATTCGTATTCGGTTGTCTTGATGACATTCCCCATAGCTCATCGTTTGGTAAGGGGCGACTCTAGCCCTTGAATAAGTTCTGGTCGACTGTCCGGGGGTAGGATAGAATATAAAATGTGCATTGATCATTTGCCTTGCCTACGAGTTTGGTAGCGAGAACTAGAAAAATGTTATCTGAATGTGCCCAGACATTTTTATTTTCGTTAAAACATTTTAAATCGTTAACCGTTTCTCTGGGTAACTTTTAGCTCTTACATTCCAACGAGAATTTTTAATGCGGCATGTAAGTGTGTTGCGTACTTTCTTTGATCCCTTTTGTGACTGAATAAAAGATGTCTTAATGCGGCATTTAAGTGTGTTGCGTACTTGCTTTCATCCCTTTTGTGACTGAATAAAAGATGTGAAATATTGAGTTGTGTGTGGTATAGGGAGTTTCCAGCTGGGTGAGTGGCGAAAACTTCCTTTCTCCCAATTCTGGAATTATAATTTTATAATTTTCGCTATATAACTTTCGTTAGTGACATATCTTCATCGAATGTCTATTGAAAAAAAGAAATTAAAACTCAAAAACGCTTTGTAGAATGAGGAGAGAGTGACGTAACTGTAACATTGGCCACTAGGAGCTCGTTTTGAATTAGAGGTAGATTTTATTGTTGAAGTACCGAGCGTTCTTCGTCCTTCTTTACTGTTCGTCTGTGGGTCGGTGTGTACCTTATTGCCGAGCCTCGTTCGTTTACGTCTTTCTCATACGTGGGGAGACAGAGGTGCTAAATATAGGGTGTAAGAAGATTGTTGGGGGTGATGAGGGGTTGGTTTAGCTATTTACTGTGTGTGGTGTTAGTTATTACAGCGATGTGGGGGGAGGAGGAGCTATGCGTCACTAATTTATCGGTATCACACAGTCGTCATACTCCTAAGACAGGATGCTGAAGAGAATTTTTGGACCTAAGGGGGGCGAAGTAACAGGAGGATGAAGACAATTTTAGCAGCGTCATAATTTATTTACTTAAATATTATTAGGATGATTAAATTAGGAAGGATGGAATGGTGTGTGGTGTGTGTTGGAGAAGTGGGAAATGCACACAAAATTGTGGCCGGTAAATCAGAAGGGAAGAGACCATTTAGAAGACCTAGATGTAGATGGGTAGTTGATATTAGAACATATCTTAGGTGAGTGGGCTGGAGTGTCTGGGTTGAATTTATCTACCTGAGGATAGGGACCAACCAGTTCACCAGGGAAGCTCTGAACACACAGAAATATGTCTTCGAGTTTTGTATCATTTGGGAGATATTATGGTAAGCTGAGTGACTGTTAGCTTCTCAAGCAGAACTTTGCTGCATGGGGTTAGTCATACTGTTGTGTCCTTCATGTTAAAGTCATCTGATTTTTCTCTTTTCTGTTATACATTCCACCACGAATACATTTCGTCATTCTGTCGGACTGTGACAGGTATGGTGGATCGGGAAGGATGACTTTTATCTTAAACCGACATCAGCTTTTGGGACTAATGAAAATCGTCCGTGAGCATAAAATTTTCATTGCACAGGTTCGAACCAGAGACTTTTCAGTTACGAAACATTTATTACCAATTGATACATCTGCCACATTCAGGGCAGTTTGCATAAAGATATGCTATTTATTTGGGGGGGGGGGGGGGGGGGGGTTGAAACTGGTAGATGTGAGAGGCAAAAGTGCGGGAAAACACAATTATCGGTCAGAAGTACAGAAAGAGGCTTTTGCGACGAAATGTAAAGAAACACACACTAGAGGGCCAATAAGCGAGGAGAAGAGGAGAAAAAGTGACACAAAACGAAAGGGACAAGCAAAGATGGCAAAATTTTTACACGTGAAGAGTCATGTTGTATTTATCAGACCGTGTCAAAGTTCAGGCAAAGAGTCGCCGAACGTCTCACCCCGGAGGCCCCGGTTCGCACCCAGGTCAGTCTAATGTGGAATTTGTGGTGGATAGAGTGATACTCGATAGGTTTTTGTTCTCCGAATCCTTCCGCTTTCCCGCTGCTCCATATTCACTCTTATGTCATTTGAGGATAATGGATAATGGACCCATTTCCACAGTTTCACCCCATCGAAACAATAAATTATGTGGATCTCAAATCTTTTCACATGCAGTA